TGCTGCCTTCACAGACTACAGATCACAAGAACTAACTTGCAAAATATTAAGGATTTTGCATTTTCACCTCGGGTCAAATCTGAACTGTGTACTATGAATAACTATTAGCTCACTGCAAATTTAAAATGCAAATTTAGGCTCCAGTTTAAAGCACATCTTAAGTACATGTTAAGTGCTTCACTGAAAAATAACCATAAAACATTAATACAAGAAGTCAAGTAGATAATGCAGGATATTATCTACAGAAGTCCTTGATGAAATAAACTGAGTATCAGTAGGAAACAACACATGAAGAAATCTCTTCATTCTAGTTTGCAAAATCAAATCTGGCTCACCAAAGTGATGGTTAAAAAGCAGGGACCATCCCAGAGTAGCTTCGCGTTCTACAGAAAGCTAGTTGATCATTAAAGAGTTCATCAGGGTAGGTTTCCACACTGCACGTTAAAAGAGCGACAGTGGACTCCCTCTGCAGCAGAAGCTAGAGACACAACTGGCACAAAGCCATCAAAGCAATACAACCAGAGCCAAGTGGAAGCACGCTGGAAGAGAGCTGCAAGGAAAAGTTTTAACTGCTACTGCCTATGGCTGTAGTTTAGCAAGTTGGACGTTACAACAGAGGAGATCAGTAGCCAATTTGATTCCCAATTCCCACTTTTGGGTTTCAATACTGTGCGCACCCAAAACGCTAAGGACAGTATTGCCACATGTGCAGCAATACCTCAGAATGGCACCGACTCAGATGTGGTGACTTGCATCAAAACACAGTTGTTATTTGAGAGTCCTTTTGTGCTTTGTATCAGTCTCACCTAGACTAACGTGGAGAACTTGGTCTGAAAGAAAAAGTCACTAGTAAGCATTTAGCACATCCTTTTAGACTGCCTCACTCTGTAGAGGAACAGTGGAACAACAGAAAAGTGTTCTCAGCTGCAATCAATACTCATAAGCCAAGAGGACAAAGATACAATTTTAGTAGTTTAGCAGAAGCAGAAGAATGGAAGCGTTACCCAATTTTTAATGCACAAATCAACTACATTTTAAAAATTTGATTCAGACTTAAATAATAAATAGGTGGGCAAAATATAATGCAAGACTTACTCAGTAAAAGTGAATTTTTAATAATCTCATGAGATCTACTTAGAAAACAGGACTAATAATGTTCACAACCGTAAATCCAAACCCTTCACACGCTTTTTTTTCTTAACACAGCAGTGAACTGTAAACCTGCATTTACTGGTTATCGCTTCAGTTATTTTAAATATTAACTCAAGTGTTTCCTCCTTGGCCATTTCAATTTTTAGCACCAAAATTAGCCCAAAAAGAGGTACTGGTACAGCTCGATGTTGTAAATGAATTGTTTACATATAATACTTTATATATTATACACACATACTGTACATTCACACGTCCACACAAACAGGAGGCATATTTAAATGAATATATTCTGTTTTTCAATTTCTTGTCAAAGACTTAGGAGCAATGGAAATAAAGCAGAAGGGGTAATATTTTACATAGTAGGCAACTTTAATGCTGTAGTGCACTTATAAAAAAGTCCAACTCTCCCTCCCAGCTCAGCAGCTTTTTTTTTTTTTTAATATCACTATTCAGAAGGATGCAGAAGTTATTGCCTAAATGTTATTCTATACATTTCCATTGGAATTCTCAAAAACACTTGAAATTGCTAACTAATTTACAACTTAACTATTTTTCTTGTTACAGCTTTAACTCATTGGCAATTTTGGAAGCAATATTTTTAAAAGCTATGGATGTTCCCGATATCCGCTTAAAGCGAACTCCATTCAGGGACAGTCTTGGCAGTTTACACACCTCCATCTCCCACTGTACAAGATTTTCCGCGTGCCCATCTCCATGGACACAGAAAAGCAAGAAACGCTCTCTTTGTTCATAGTCACAATTATTGGCATCCAGGACCTTTCGTATTTCCCTCATCATGTCATTGGGATCCATGGAGCTGGTGGTTTTCATGCTCCAAGTAAAACGCAGCGACCGAGGCTTGGCTTCCTTGTTCTCGTCCTTCTGATCCACAGCTACATTGCGGCTGAAAGACAGGAATTCATTAGTTAGCAGGGCCAGCCACGTTTGATGTTAGTGAAGCTAACTAAACGCACACTACTGGTATTAGAGTAGCATCTAGAGGCTCCGGCTGCGAGCAATGCCCCGCTTTCCTAGCTGCTGTACAAACACACAGTCGAGGTAAAGCATTAGCTGTTGGGGCTGAAACGAAGGTATGGTATGATGGGTGACACAACTGGAAGTCACCGGAGTCAGGAGCATGAGGGAAATGACCTTGCGGAGGTAGAACTACATGCATCATCTATGACCTGATTTTTAAGGCAGGTTCTGCTCAAACCCCTATTCTTGGGCCACATGGACGGCTGAAACACCAGCTCTGCGCTAGAAGTTTCTGGAACATTCAAATAGCAGCGAATTGTGACAAAAGGGTGCTCAGCACAGGTCGTGGGAGTGCCAGCCCACGAGAAGTGCCCACTCACATGCAACGGGGATGAGCCTGTGCAGAAAGATCCTGGGGGTTCCTCTGCACCTCCTCCTGTGCAGCAGGTTGGAGACCAAGCACTGGGAGGGCCCATGGAGTCCCACAGTAGTTAGTTGCAAGCAGGAGGAGGGACAGCAGGACAGGGGGACCTTGCCAGGGGTCACCCACCTACTGCCCCAGGGCCAACATGTGCTACCCAGTTCTAGGCTGGTTTGGTTTTCACTCTGGCCTGCCTGCACTGGTAAGTGTTTGAGATGATCACTAGAGACCCACCACATTGTAGGCTACTGGGGTTACCTTCAGCAGGGGGGAAATACGTCGTCTCTAAGTTGGTCAGTGATTTTAATACCAATGACTGATAGAGGTAAAGTGATGAAATCTTTTGCGGCTACAAGCTATGCAGCTAAATGCCTTTGAGGCTGAAATGCAGGAATGAGAGTTGGAAGTTGCTATAAGGCACCTCCTCAACGTTGTTAGCAAAGATGGCAAATAATAGGGTTCCTATTACTGTCACAGCTTTAAGAGATAAAGCACAAAATATTGAGGCTGCATTTCCCAAGTCTGCAACTTTTTTTTTTTTTTTTTAAAATAAAAAAAGCTTTTCCTTTGGTAAGGATAAATAAAGTTATACAGGACAAAGAAAAGAAACGTTCCAGAAATTTCTAGTTTGCAATGATTCTTCTACTTCAATTAAAATCAGTGGTCATGCAGCTAAAGAATAAGGAACTACATTTGGACCTCCAGGGAAAAAATATGACAGATTTGCTTTATGAATATTTGCACACTGTCAGCTGCCTCTTCAAATTTACTTGTCCTCAGGACAAGAGGCTTAAATATATTGACTGTCATGCTTAAATATTTTCTGAAAATACCTAACCTAACTGACCCCAACCCCCGTGCAGTTTAGGTCTCATGTTGAGCTTCAAAGTTCAATTTACAATATTAAGTCAAGCTGCTTTTTAAAATAGTTGGCAATGAATTTCTGATTACACAATGCTTTTTTTCTACCACCATTAAGCAGGCAATTATGAAAAAGTTAAATAAAAAGTGATAGCAAGGTCAAAACTAAATAAATGTATTTCTCAAAGATAACCTATTTTATAATTTTACGTTCTGTTAGAAAGACTTCCAGTAACTGCAAGAGTCATAGGATTATGCTGTCAAATCCAGCTACGTGATTTGCCAGATGTTATAAAATTCAGCAAGCAAATTAAGGAGTACTTTGTTTTAACTTTTAAGATTTTAATTTACTAAGGCTGTAAGGGGACAGGGGGAAGACCAATTTTTATTCAATGCTCATTTTATTTTTGAAAGCTTTTTATACTTGAAAACAGCTGGCAGAACCAGCACAAGTTTGATCATTTCTAGTATTTTTTGATACGCAGATTTTGGAAGAAAAGTACACATGAAAAATATTGTTTAACTATCTGTGATTTTGGAGATGAAAAATATCTTATCACCCTTCAGTGGTTATCCCACATGTTTGCAGCCTCACTAGAGGCCACTTACCTAGACATCTACAAGACAACAGCAAATTATAATGACTAAAATGAAAAAAAAAAAACACACAAGGGAGAAGGCAACAGGAAAGATGAAAGTTTAGAAACCAAGTCAGTCAGTGCTTTAATAGCTGTTTTGCAGACAGAAATGCTTTGTTTAGTTTCAAAGCCTTACACGAAACAAAAGCTGCTGCCTGAAGCCACTACGCCACATAACCAAGGGGAGAAAGGTTCAAATTCACCTAAGTAACATTTTAAACAAAAATTTTACCCTCACCTTGAGCCCTCAAATCTCCCGTTCCTCTCATATTCAGTCGGGAGCCTCATTGAAAAGAATGCAGAAGCAAAAGGAAGTGGGAAAGAGAAGACAAATCTTACACTACAATATACAATATCTTGAGTAGTTGCTAAAAGATACTGCAATCATACCAAAGGCATGTTAAAATACAAAGCAACAAAGATGTAAAGAACTTCGTAGGTTAGACCAAAGTCAGAATATAACATATTGTCAAACCAAATGGCAGTCTATAAGCTACAGTTTTTAAAAAGACCATAACTATTTTTTACAATGTATTATGTATATTAATACTGTACAACTCACTGAATAAAGCTGAACTTCTAAAAGCAGAAAATGTGAAACTAAAGTTACAAAGTGTATTAAGTTATTGTATTATTTAGTAAGTACCTCCTAAAAGAGAAGTAACTCCCAATTATTTTTAGGTTAATGATATTTAAAAGTTTTATCTGGGAATACAATGTATATTTGAAAAAATACACTATTTACAGACAAGTCTGGTCACCCTGTGTGTTTGCACACACATCAGATCTGAGGTATTAGGCGTTCAAACAATACCAAATACCTTAATGCATATACTTTTTAACAAAAGTTTAGAGGTAAATCCAAGATTTCTCAAGCTGTGGTAACTCCATCCTATTAATTCCCACACTGATGCATCTTCCACATCCAAGAGTAAGCTTAAGCCTTCTGTCTTCTTGCATTCCTTAAAGCTACATTGCTGATCACTACCATTTTTTAAAAGCCCATTATCAAGCAGAACTAAGGGGAAAATCACCTTCCTCTACCTTCCCATTATTGCAGTACCATGGTTCAACATCTCAGTGTTAATTCTGCTCACAGGGAAGCTGCCTTTATAAGGCTCTTATCAAGACTACTCTAAGCTAGTACATGGCTTCACTGAGTAACGTAAACTATTAAAGCAGTTTGGTTGACAGGTGTCTAGGGATAGGAATGTAAGACAGCAAGCTTATTTTTTGATGCACAGTGGTATTTATATCAGGGTGTGTGGGGTGTTACAAGGCTTAATTTCCTCCTTTCTTTCCTTTTGAGGGTTGCGGTGAGGGAACAGGCTTGTAAGATGATTCTCTGCAGTCCCTGTCACAAGGGAACAGACGCTGTGCTAGCACCACGAGGAGCATGGTGGCAGCACTCACTGTATAGGCTATGGAGCCTGCTCCTCGTTCAAAATTCACACTGCTATTGCAATAGAAATCCAATTGAGAAAGTAGTAAGTCACTCAGCTATGAGCTGCTTGTTACAACAGCATCCGATCAGAACCCTGCTCTCTGAGGTACTGCACAGCACATGGTTACAACCAGGTCTCTGCTAGGAAACGTTTGCCATTGACTAACGAACAGCTGTAACAAGCAAAAAGGATAAGGAAGATAATAAGAAAACTGACAAGTCCTCAATTAATTCTAGCGCTTCAAAGTGGGTTTTAGTGGTAGTTATTTTCATGAGATCTCACGCCACTTATCGTGGATATAGGAGAAGGTAGAAAAAGATTTTTAAGGTCTGCATATGCAGGCCATGAACTCACCTTTTACAACAACTCTGCAGGACTGAGAAGGGGGTAGGTGGAAGGGAGAAACCATCATGCGTACCAACTGAACAAATCCACACCTTTCAGATTATCTGGGAAAAGCTCGTTTTACTGGGCAAAGCAAGCAACAAGTTTGCAACTACTCAACTGAAAAATTGAGAGTACGTGAACTTTAAAGAGCCTACTGTGTTCCTATGAAGTGGAAGACGACAGCTTTGTTAAGAGCTGCAAGCATTTATGGATTTTGGTGGTGGTTTTTTGGTTGTTGTTGTTTTTTTTTGGTTTTGGGTTTGGTTTTTTTTTAAAACTTGCCACAGGTTGTAGAAAACAAGAGCATAACCAGTCTCCCCAGCAATGAATAGTCTTACTGTTACTGGAATCTGTCCAGAAAAGTCTGGGAGGAAAAATCCCTAATGATGCTCTTAGACCCTTTTTAGGTTGAAATTAAGCCAAACTGTTCAGTTTCTAAACCACTATACTCTAAATCTAAGAAAGGTCATTATTTACAAAATACTTGCCACTTTGAAATAATAAATACTCTTTCATGGAAGCCTCTCAGAAAATCCTTACTTCTTTCAGTTTTTCCATGCATCCATTCATTTAGCACGAGCAACTGCATTCGGTGACACACACCCTCAAATATGAGCCATCATGCCAAGCTCTGGAGAGCTGTGCCAGTCTCTCTAGATGCTCCTTCCTTCACGAAGGACACGGTTATGGTCTAGTTCTACAGCCCAGCACTGGTGCTTTGGGAACAGTCACTTACTGTACTGCCAGTATTGTTTTGGTGGGTCTGCAAGTCAGATGCAGCCCTGAGGCCTTCTCACCGCTACTACAATCTTCACTTCTGCGGGAACTGCAAATTGCTAGTTTATGTTCTAGATTTTCTGCTTTTGCTTGTATTTTTACATAAATTAATTTTATGGACCAAGACGCTCCCTGGTCTTGAGAATGGAAGAAATATATAGGAAACTTATGTTTTCATTTGTCATGCAATGTCCATACACTATCTCCTTTATGGTTTGTGAAACGCTTTCAAAAATAAGAATGTTTCCATACATCTGTCCTGAGTTATGCTGTGTTTTCTGTTCTTTACATCTTTGTACACTCTGTATTAAAAATCCAAATAAACACAAAGAAAACTGTCTAAAGAGATACAGAAAAACAGCAAAAAGTGCAAGACGCTAAAATAAGATCAATTTATCGAAATGGAGAAAAGATGCTGCAATAAAATCCAGAACAGAAAGTGTTTTTTGCTGTCAGAAAAAAAGTTAGACTTCCAGAATATGCAGATTGGCAAGGACAGTGCATGGTACAAGACAGAGAGAGAGATATATATATTTTATACCTCCGTGTACCAAGCACAATATTAGAACTCAGTAGTTTAAAAGAAGTAACTGATTATCTACTTTTGTTCAGCTCCCTAGAATTATGTCGCAGTGCTATATATATTTGGGTTACAGTAGTTCCTTCAGTATCAAAGACAGTGAGTTTAGGTAAGATTCACAGCATATAAAGGGAAAGGCAATTGCCAAAACCCCCAACATTTTCAATTTAATTTTGTACCTACATACAGATCAGGTATGGAGGGACACCACGCACACTTAAAACAATTTAAAAAGCACAATCTGGTCCTGTGTAGGTGGTGTAAGACTGCAAATCTCTTATCCAAAAGACATATTCATGGAAGCTGCAGCAGCTATTTCCACAATAGTCTGAGATTCCTGGCCTCAAGTCAAAGGAAAATTTTTAGCAATGACTAAAAAATTACCTTTTTTAAGATTCAAATTTGAACAGTAACCTTCTAGTTTAAAACTGTACTCATATTAGCATTTTTCATCTTTCTTAGAGCAGCAGAGTAACAAACTTATATGCATCCAGTTGTGAGGGCTGCACAGATCACAGTCCTTTGTTTTACAAGGAATGCGACTATAGGGAGATGAAAGCTCCCTCTCACAAAGTGGTATGCACCCCACAGCTCACGATGTACGCTGGGTTAAAACTATTGCCCCTGCTCAGTTTCATCTATATACTGTGTTGGGTGGTTTCTTTCCTTAACTAACAGTTGATGCATGTTGCTTTTCTCAAGTCAGCTGTGACAATGCCAGACAACCCAACCAACACCAGTTCTAAACATAGTCATGTTTGGAAGAGCCCTGATTATTATTACTGTGGCGTGGAATTTACTCATTTAATCGGGTAGGGTACCTTTAGACTCGGACTGTACATAATAACCCCAAATTTAGGCAGCAATTTACATATCTCATGTCTCCCTAATCTAAGTATTTCCTTGAAATGGTGTGACAAACTTCAAATTACAGTCACATGCATAGCCTTGCATTTTGAAAGTTAAAACAGATGTTTGGTTTTTGGCCCTGTTTCCCTATTTTTGACCAGTAGTTGGAAATTGAAAGTACCACCCCTTAAGAAGCTCCAAGATATGATACAACTAAGCAGAGCATTACAAAATTCTACTGGAAAATTTACCTGCGGATCAAAATTGTATAACCAACTTTCATGAGTCATAATGGATTAACAAGATATATAGCAGCTTAATTCATTCCCAAATTGTAAAACTAAACTCAATCCTTTGGGCTTGAAATGTGAATCAGCCTTCTGAGCTTTTTCCTTTTGTTAATAAATTTGCATAGATGTTACACTTTTTGTTTACAACTTGAAGTGCTCTGTTTGCACTTCAGCTGCAATTCACTTCAGCAAATGCATCCCATTTTAAAACAAATACACAGCCATTGCATCTTCATTCAATGTTACAATCAAAACTGTTAGATTCACAACCGTGTTCAGTATGCTTTCTATTGTATCAACTGCAGACAACACTTCAAACTGATTTTTTTATAAAATATCATAAAACAAAGAGAGAGAACGTAAATTTAGCATCACTTACCTTTATTTGCTTGTAACCTTATGTTTTGTTTATACTGTCATCATTGTTATCAAACACCTCATTCTTCAAACATAAGCATGCTAAGTGTATTAGTACAGAGAACAGAATTACTTTGGTACTACCAACTCTATCAAAGAAAGGAGAATTCACAAGGCATGCTTAGCATCTTGTTATACAGGTGCCACAGATTCTTAAGTATCATCATGAGTTAATGGATTTATTCTATGCTTTCCTCTCAAGAAAGAAAGTATTTAGTTCTCAGCAGAAAGTTTAGTTTTCAGAAAACCAAGGCTAGAAAGCCAAATCTGTTGTTAATTGCAGGAGCCACTTTTTTTTTAAATATAAATAAATCCTACCTTTTGATAAACCTGAATGACATGTTTCTAAAAGAAATTAAGCCAAAATAATAATTAACAAAAAGTTTTGTACAAAATAAATTGAAAAAGCCATTTAGAGTGAAACATGCAAAAAGATCTCATTTAAAACGCACAATGAAATTACACTTCAATACATTCTGAGATTAGGCAGATGATTTAGGGTCTGAAGAGTCAAACTCTTAGCATTGCTACTTCCAAACTTAATTTTTCTGGGAAATATGCCACCAGTAGTTATTATGAATTAAAATATGTACTGGTGTCAAAACACTTTAGAGCTCATAATCTACAAGGTCACATTAAAATATGTTTGGATTTTCTTCATGTATTTCAAATAGAAAGCAAAAATCAGTAACTCTACTATAATTAGATCTTGAGTATCTTCAGAGTTAGGTTTCTTCCCTCCTTCATAACATTAGGTCAGCCACGTTGTGCCAAAAACTTCCTTAAATATTTAGTTAATTTAGTAGCAGAAGCTGTAACAATTGCCTACACCAGAACCTAAGTAGTTCATAATCAAAAGGATTCTGATCCCCCATAGAGAATGCTAGAATAAATTAACAGGTTTTAAGGTTTTTAAAAATTTATTTAAAGAGAAGAAACATAACCGTGTCCTTTGATGGCACTATCCACCTCCTTAGTAGTTTGTACAGCACCTAGCATAACAGAGCCCCAACCGTAAGAGGTCCTCCAAGTGCAAACTTAATCATCTGCAACAACACTATTGTGTTACAACTGCACGTTATTTAATCGAGTCCAGATGGAATTTAAACTATTGTCAAAAGTAGTGGGGAAAAACTTCAAAAAACCCACTCTGTACTGCAAAAGTTGAAACTTGGAGGTAATGACAGAATTTTGAATGCTGCCTAAACAACTGAGTGACACACAATGCTAAATAGTATGTTCAGCAGCACAAGAGAAAAGCTTGCATGTTCACAGTTTGAGCGTCCACATTTGGAACGTCAGATGGAAAATTAAGTAAGGATATTACAAACAAAAGTACAGAAAGAATGATGTGCCAAAAGGATGCCTCTGATTAAGACTTCACTTGACAAAAAGCAGATGACTTAATTTAAAAAAAAAAAAATTTTTCAAATTAATCTCTTCTCTCTCTCTCTCTCTCTCAACAGAAAAAGAAAGAAAAAAAACCCAGGGAAACGTTAGCTGGCAGAGAGCTGAGCAGGGTAGAACATTTACCAAAGGCTAGGCTGTCACGTTTTCGTTTTTCACAGAAACAAGTTCTACATTTTTAAAGAAATTCACTCTCTAAATTGAAATCAGCCAGTTGTGAAAAACTGGAGTTTGGCTTAGCATTATTTTGTAGGAATAGGAGACTATGAAGAGGATGCTGAGAGGGAGGCATGTATAGTCACAGAACAGACAGGCTTGGTACTGATATGATATAAACCTAAAACAAAAGCAAGCAGGCCAAGATCAGAATGATATATTCCAAAAAATTTCACATGATAAGGAGGGTACAAAAGCATGGAGATTATCTTAAGGCAAAGATAAACACACCCTCATTTCTGCAAACACAAGCTGTGGATATCAGAAGTATGCGGTATGTGAACAAACAGGTTTTAAATATAGAAGGAAAATAGGTGGTTTTCAATTTTAGGGTTTGTAGGAACTAATTTAAATCACACATGGATTTGAAACTAGAAGTCCAATTAGAATAAAAACCGTAAGTGCGAGAACAACACCTGCTTACACTAGGCTTTGGCTAGACCAACACAATTTCACACTGAAACCAGAATCTGCACAGGAACTAAAGGTCAAAATAGGAGTAAGTTTTTCAAGGTTTGACCAGACTCCCGCCTAGACTGAAACCACAGTACTGACATTATTTTAATATGACCTATGCTAGTACTACTGCCAAAAGCAGCTTTTGTCTCCTGCCCCTACCCTTTCACCTGTGATATTTCTGTTTGTGTGTTGCCAGCAAGGGTTTTCTGGAAATATTAATAGCCTAAGTGATTGAGGAACACAACCTGAGCTCCTAGCGCTACATTAAACATCAAGACTGGGATCCTAGTTTATGCCGTCTACTGATAGACCACGCAGTCAGAGTGAGCAGCTTTTGAACTGAGCTGAAATGTTTCAGCTCTGCAGCATTTGTACCTCAGACATGAGGATGATGAGCACAGAAAAATCAGCACAGACCAAGCTGTCTTTTTATCCCATTTGATTCAACTGCTAAAAACAAATGGCTGCTGTAACCAAAAAGAACTATGAAAAAAACATAAGCCAGTGCATTTTAAGTTGCAGAAATAGTTAAGCCATTAATCAGAGAATGCGGACAAAACAACCTAAGCAACGAACTACTAGGTACGTCTACTACCCGATAAAAAGGAAATGTTGCATTACCATTTTAAGAGGCTTACCTTCTTGTTAGTTTTGAAGTTAGTTTACTAAATAGATTAGTGGAACCCCTGGTTCGAGTCTGTGAGAGTGGTGTTGCTTCATGGGACAGACTGGGGGAGGCTGGCGGTCCATTGTAGGTAGCAGTACGTCGCTCTCTGAGCTGGCCGTGGAAAGTGCTCCGACTAGCCGTTCCTCTGGGGAAACGAATACGATCAGGTGTGGTTGCACTGCTAATGCTGTGAGTTGAAGCAACAGGAGTTCTTTGATCGGGAATAGTGCTAGAGCAGAAAACAAAAAACAATGCTAGAACTTCTTTACAGAAGCACTACGGTTCTGCAGGAAACACAAAACACTATGTTCTACAGTAAAGCATAAGCAGACACTTTTATATAGGCCAGGGTTGGAAATATCAACATTATTACGGCACTGTATGGAATCAAAACTTGTAAGAAGTTAGGATTAAAAGGCTGCCGAAACAGAAACCTACATAAGCAGAAAAATGCAACAGGAGTACCCTGGAAAAGACCAGATAAACTAGGCACACAATGTTTCACTGAGAAGACTGATAAAAGGATAGATGAGTGAAGTTTCCTCCCAGGAAAGAGAAGCAATAGGTAACTTTAGTGTCTCTCCCTGCACATTCTATATATACACGTCTTTGAAAATCCTGCTAATTTGAAAGTATCCTACACAAAATTCTCTACAAGCGAACCACTCCAAGCAGTGAAGTCCTTCTGGATATACAGTTGAAGCCTCACACAAACTTTTGACAATATGGAATGTCCAATACTCCTAACTCTAAGAAAAAATTCAGGTTCATTATTGCAGGATTATGTCACAGACAGCCTGACACACCACAAGACAAATGTAAACAAGACTAAAAAAAAAGAGGAAACACACATCTTGTGGGCGATATATACTAGAACAATCTAGGACTAAAATTCCACAGCACAAAGTTAAGAAGCAGTGGGTAAAAGTTAGTTTCACAACGATTTCAGGTTCTTACATAGGCCTGAAGTTATCTGCGCCATTGTCTATTGGAGGCAACATCATCTTCGTGTGCACAGAGGCTGACATGGACATCGACTTCTGATGTCGCAGCCGAACACTGGAGAAGGATGTAGTACAAACTGAAGCAGGGCTAGCTGCGTAAGCGAACATTTCTGTCAGGCTGTGAGAGGGTTTGGGTTCAGGCAGAGGCAGAAAGAAGAGCATGATGGACCAACAACAAACTACTGCATAGAAAAAAAGCAAACTTTTCCTTCTATTAACTGATTTATCACAGAACACGAACTCTAACAGCCTTCTTCTATGTAAATAGCAGCAACTACCCTACACTCTTCTTAGAAAGCATCCTTACTATAGCACTTGACATCTATGAAGTGATCATTCTCTTACCATTAGCATTAGTTTGCAGTGATACCCTCCTTAACATACGGAACCTGAATAACTCAATGTTCTGTGTCAAAGCACTAGTATAAAGCACTGATGTAATTCATATTGGTCTTAACATTAAAAAATGCATTTAAAAAACCCACCAACTGCACTTTCCAAAAGACTTGATGATAGCTCCATTACTGCAGTGAAATATGTTGTTTTCAGAATGTATGCATGTTAAAAGAAATCAATATAAGTTGGGCAAGCTGTCAAATCTTGATCTACATCTGATAACTGAGGGACTTCACAGGCACAAACCCAACAATATAATGATCTTTAACAAGTCCAGAGAGGTCCAAACAAAAAGGCTACTATTAATCAACCTGTATATGTAGGAGGCAATGAACATCGCTTGGTGTTCTCTGAAGGAAGAGGTATGACTGTTGAAGAGCATCTCATGTTGCTTGGCCACAAACCTTAAATTCTCCAAATTACCATTCAGGCTTTGAAGGAAGGTCTACAGTGCTGTCTTAGCAGAATGGCCAGTAAGCTGCCAGCTGTGTAATATGTTAAAATAGGAGCATGAAATCTTTTTCTTTCTTCGGGCCAAAATACTCTTTGCAGCCTTCACATTATCTAGTAATAATAAGGATGGGAGAAAACTGAGAGGCCACAAGATGTATTGGACCTTTCAGGCTACACCACCATAAATAATTAATCTTAAGTTTGCTTTAAAAGTAAGGCAATTGTAATTCAGAAATATTGTTCGAGGTTAAGAAGTCAGTAATTATCAGTGACAGCTTCATGACACTGCCTGCTCAATTCCAAGTTAGTTCATGGTTACACATACTGAAATTCAAGTCCTGTTATCTCATTCTAGTATGTCAAACTGTGGAGAGGAGAATGCTAGCCCAGCTACAAGTATCAGCTGACCTACTTCTCGGGCTTAGCTCTCAAAGCACTACTAGAAAACACCTCACAGCTCAGACATCAGAACTGCTGGCTAAAAGGGTTAGCAAAATCTACTTTTCAGTTTGTTTTTAACTTTTCAGAATCTACAAAACTTCATCATGCATGCATCTCTTTACAATGCTGAATCCAGCAGGATGCCAACTACAACCACTACGACAACGAAGCCTTCAACACAGCCCAGCTTTTACATTACCCCAGGGTATTAAGAAATTGTAAGGAAATGAACATTCTCAAAAGCAATAGCCCGAAGTCAAGTAATCCCCAAACAATTGGTCACTAGCCTCTTGAGCACTTCTAGCTCCTTTCTCTCAATTTGTTGCAAAAGATAAGAGGAGAAAGAATCTAGATTTATAACATGTTAAACCCAAGTTTTATTTAGTCACCTGCCTCCAAAGATGTGATAGCTAAAGGTGTCAATAAGGTACCAGAGCACATATTAAAGCATTTATATTTCTTCCTCTGAAGCTTTTTGCTAGAAATCAGTTTCCTTGGATTACTAGCTCACTTTTTCTGTGTTCCCAGGCTAACATTCACCAATTAGTGACAAGGCTTGTTAAAAATCTGAGGCTGTTGTAAATCATTTGTGCTACAAGTGATTTAAAGCAATTGCCTATCATTATGAAGAGTGTTTCATTGAGTCCCCAAGTGTGTTAATTAATGCTCAGGCTTTGGAAGAAAGCCAACAGAGTTATCTCCAGCAGAATGCCTGTGTCAGCCACACAATGTGTTAAAGTAGGGATGTGAGACTTAAAACCCCTTTGCTTCTACCAGTCTGGCATGGGGTCTTCAAGACTACTTTCTCCAACATCAAGTCCAGTAGCTGACTATTGATTCTTCAAAGTTTCCATACCTTCAAAAATAGTGCCTTCTCAGAATTCAATGTGCAAGATAAAAACAGAACAGGCAACATTTTAACACTTTCTCTACAAAAAGAATAGAGACTTTAAATGTGCGCAACTTGCCTTTTAAGGCAAGTCTCCCAAGTTTTCACTGAGTCACAGTCAGAATCTGACTGGCTATGGAAAATCTAAAATCCAATCTGTAGCAAATAATTTGTAGTAATTACTCCTGTCTTTAACATGTGCCACCAATAAACATCTGAAAAGCACAGAAAGCATTTTTAACAAAACCTTTGATTTATACAAAGCCGAGGTTCTATTTCAGATCTTGCTTCACAGAAGAAAAACCATTACAAGTTTCTAAAGTTACTTTCTGCCAAGTTGAGAGTACAATAATATTAGAGATACTACAGAAACACCTGAAGGCAGGCAGAATTCATTGTGAAGAGCCAGTCCCATCAACAGCCATGTTTATTTAGCCTGTATTAAAGGTCCCTGCATTTCATGCGATCAGTCAAGCCTTTGTCCAGTTACAGCAACAAAATATATTCAGATGTAAATTCTGAACTCTGTGCCAAATCACAGTAATTCTGAAACTGTGCCAAACTGTGATAAAAGCTATGAAGATTTTTTTTTCCCCTGACAATGAAAATATAAATGCTCAGACATTTCAAATGACCCAAATAGGGCTAAAGTTTGCAGGATAAGCAAATGATGTGTGGATACCATATTGACAATAAAAGGTAAATTACACAAGGATAACCAATTATGGATATAAAATGGAATTAATATAGTTGCCAAGTACTACTCAATGTTAAATTTGAGCTTAATGCCCATACGTGACAAACCAGAAAGACAGCAGTTTGCTGAGAAACTCAAAGCTGGTAAAAAATAAATAACAACTTCAAAAGACAGCTCCTTAGGAGCATGAAATTACTCCTAAATTAAGGGGACATCTGAATCTCAAGCATTCCTAGTAAACAATATCTAGTAACTTTCAAAAATGTAATAAAGAAATTGTAGACAAGATATTGCAAAGATATTAGTTTAAAGATCAACAAAAATGTTATTAAACCAAGAAATTAGGTAATCAAATCTGATAACTATTTTGGAAAGAAAGATTAATTTTTCAAGGAGAGTTTGGAAAGAAAAAAGCTATTAACATATCAAATCAAAGAAAGGATGGTGAGCTTTAATCTAAACAAACTTGGTAACATTAAGGACTAATCAATGAAGGCTGAAACAGACACACTAAGAGACAGTACCAAATAGCTGTGCTGAACTTCACAAGACAGTTGACTGCAGGCCCAGCTGGCCAGCTAGACTTTTTGGCACTCTTCAAACTTATACTTGACTTTTTCCTTAATCACTTTCAGTTTGCAGAAAGCTAGGAGGAAGAGACAGGGTCAAAATCACGTTCTTTATCCCTAGGCTCCAGGGGTCAAACAAGGGACAGACAGACTTCCATTCAACATCACAACTTCGCTGCTCTTCCTTATAAGCTGCCAAAAGGAAGGGGAAAAATTCTGTGCAAAAAATGGCACATCTTTCACCAACTTCAACACTAGCTAGAAGAAAAGTATTTTCTTCCCACCCTTTACAATATATCATAAAATTAGGAAGAGGTGGAGAAAATTGGGAAGAGTAGGAGAGAGGTACACATTCTTCCAAGCTTAAGCATTTTTATGAAGTACTAGCTATCTGGGTGCTCTTCTGGCAATGGTCAACTACTTAATTGTTACCGGCTTTTGAGACTAGTAAAATTCTGTGACGAACAGCTGGTTGGAACTTAAAACACCTCAGCCAGCCAGGAAATGTGGTGGTATTCTTCAAAAGTGTTACTCTGTACCTGATTGTCTACATTCACTATTATATTTATTTTCTACTGCTCTCCTCAGTCTTTGATACACAGGGAAGGATGGGACTAGATGTGGCTATGGTGCTAACACATGAACTGGTTAACTCCAATTCCATTGCATGCTCAAGTCAGGCTTTCATTCCGTAAAGTGAGAGGAAAGCTGTTATTTCTCTGACTGTTTTCACTCAGAATGAGGAGATATCAGTGCTTCCCTTGTCAAGATGAGTTCTGAAAATACTAGGAGTGCTACAAGGATATCAGTAAGGAACGTAGTCCAAGACAACGGCCTATCCATCTCTGCTCAGAAAAAAATGAGTTTCTCCCTGAGACTTTGTAGAAAAAACAGTATTCCAAATAATCCCAACAAAGTACAGTTTAGAGTGAAATGTAAGAAGAGAATGGCCAAAGAGAGAGGGACTTCGTAGTTTGACACTAAACAAGCCTCTTCTGCAAGAATATATTGTTTGGCCACAGGAGTTAACAACTGATTAAAGATGAAGGCTGTACAAATATGACATGTATTAAACCAGAAATTAGGATCTTCGTTTTACATTCCAAGTATAAAGACTGTATGAATTAAGCACAGGAAAAAAAAAAACCCAACATACTTACAGGTGCTCCATAACCAAAGATCTGTACTCACCTTTCATTAAGAATTAAACTAGAATATTACTGATTTTCAAATTAGGCGTTACAATTTTTTGGAAATGTGAAGACAAGGGACATACACCGTAGGAAGATATTTCATATACCTGTTCTCCTTGCCATTTTGTATCACTGAATGCCTATCAGCAGTGGTTCTTTCACTACAAACATATGTGTTGCGCCGTGTCATTGCTCCAGGGGCAGTATTATTCTACAATTAAAAAACATAGGCTTGTTATTCCCCACAAAAGGCTCTTCTGGGGTTAAGTTCAATATAATTGAAGGCTGTTTTACTTCATGCTAGTTCTACACAGTTATAAAACTTAAAATAATTAAGTTAATATACAAACACCTTCCAGTATTTTTAAGGAATAATGCAATCAGAAAAAATAATTCTAAGAAGTTGTTCTTGTATTTCATGTTGATGGCTCAAAATTAATATTGCTAAAAGTTTTTAATTACCAATGTTCTGAATTACAAATTCTCAGCATGTATAGCATTCATCTACATCTGGATAGCCTATGTGTTTACAGCCTATTTTTTAAACACTTTACCACTTGTAGATTGTAGAATTTTCCTTTAAGTTAAAATCATACCCTTAAACAAGATAGGAAAAGCAAAGACTTAAGAAACAAATGTAGTAAAATTCAGTGGGAAGGTAAACATGGACTTTTAAATATTAAAATACTAGAAAACACTAGACAAGTTTTAAAAACAGGGAAGAATAAGTCAAATTGAAGAGACAAATTGCAGAGAATTTTAATAAGACATTTTTTTAAAAAATATACATTTAAATACAAGCATAATACATTGAGGACAAGAGAACCAGGGGAACTTAAAACTACAGACCTTACTTTAGAGGGGAGAAAAGAAATAGAATTACTTTGCCTCTGTCTTTACAGAGAAAGAGGGTGGAGATATGCCCAAGTTGGCGGTCAATTTTCCAGGAACGACTGAGAAGCTAGGTAATTCACAGATAACAGAATTATAAAAAGTTAGATGCAATTACTGTAGGAAAAGCATGGTGGTCCAGATAAACATGCACCCCCAGGTTGTAGAGGAAGTAAGAGCCAGCAAGCCTTGGATTTTTTCTCCCCACCCCAAGAACATAACACAGGAAACTGCATATGGTTGGAAAGTGGAAAAAACCTATAAAAATTTTCTTTAAAGAAAAGGATCACGGGGCAAAGCAGGAAGCAAAATAGGCTATTAACTTTAAACATCACTGCTGGGGAAAATCTTGGAGGAGGCTAGCTTAAGGGAATGACTGGTCAGCACCTGGATAAGCAGATGTTGAGTAAGGATGGCCACTAAGAATCAGGCAGGGGACTTCATGCTCAACTAACCTTTTGGAGTTCTTTGAAGAATTACTGCTATGATAGACAAGGGAAATTCAGCGGATTTTTAAATAGCATTTTAGAAAGAAAAGGTTTCACATAAATGGTCACAGTAGAGAGTCACGGGAAGAAGGATAAAAAAGAAAGAAAGGAAAAACCAGTTCAAGCACAAAAGGACAGTAGCCAAACCTTTTTTTTGTTTCCGAACCTGAAATAAAACTGTTAAAGTGGAGTATTCTCAATAATCAACAAAAGCTCCTCCAGTGCCTTAAGGCAAAATATAAGGCTATATAGAGAGTCTCAAGCAATGCAATCCCTGAGCTGCAGATTTAACAATGAAGCCATCTTGTCTGTTTAAAAGACTGCTGATCTGTCACACATGTTTATGTGAATGTACAAATAAAAATGAAAAAGTGAACTGTGCAACCTCCTGGTGTTAAAAAGTACGAAGAGTATAAAGAGTATTTCAGATTAGCAGAACTATTAATTAAACCATAAGATGCATGTAGTTGTCTCAAGGGTTCCCAAGTCTTCACTGGATATTCCTTAGGGACAGGCATGAGCCAAGCATCAGCAAAAGTCCGCCTGGCCCTTGCCTTGTACTTTATTCCTTACACACCCCTCTTCTTCAAATCTGTTTATTTAAAAAAAAAGCATTGATTCTTCTACTTTCCTCTGACATTTGCCATTGTGCAAATTCCCCTCTCTTTACTAAACTGGCTAGCAATGAAAGCTGTGTACCTAGAGTGAAGTTTTGTGTATATGTTCATGAGGCCACGCTGTGCAAGACACTTTGTGGAGTCCTTGCAAACCAATGGTACTTTGAACTATTAAATATTAATATTTGCTTATCATTTTGTTCTGTGTTCCTGAACATATTAGAAAACAAAGCACCTAGAATATTCGACTGTTCTTCTGGTGGGAAATATGCACAATAATGGGTGGCTTCTTTCCACCTGCTCCCTTAGAACATGTGTTTCCTTCAAGAAGACACCACATAACATTAAAATGTACTGTGATGTTGCACATCTATAAGGTCAAGACAGCAATCTCTGTGCTGGAACAAACTTTAAAGATTATGCATTTTCAGGCTTGGGAGTGGACAAGTTTTGGTATTCATATCTGAAATCAGAGGACATGCACTTTCCCAGCTCTTTTTCTGGAATACAAAGACAGAAGGATCAGTATACATGTTCTTTTGTTTGGCTCATATTTCAGAGGTTGCGAGAGGAGATTTAAGCATTTCAAGCTTTCAAATTTCAGTTTTAGCAAGAATATACTCTTGGTATTGGGGCCTTTACACTTTTTAGTGTATGACCTCCTTTCATGATTCATCTAGGAAGTCCTTCAGCTACAACTCTTTTGTTCAGCCAATCTACAGACTATTAATCTCTGGACATGACTTAGTTGCACAGCACAGGAAGCCTGAAACTGGTGTCAACAGCACCACACTCCCTGATGGAATGACAACCCCCAGGGTATGGGTTAACTGCATAAGTTCATCCTCGTGGCATTGTCTGCCTTCTTTGCAGGAGGTGTTGACACTGCAAAAGCACATGTTGAGACTTCTGAGCATATGCACAAGGTGCAATCACAGCACAAAGGATGAATTTTTGGTACAGAGTCCTCCTCTTTACCTAGAGAGTCTTGTGCCCGCTGCTTAGGCAGGCTGTTTTCACATTAAGAGACACCAGGGCGAGGACTGATGAAAAACTTTCAAAGAATCAGCTTCTGACTTACAATAATGAACCCATCTATTTGCTTAAAAGCACTAGTATGTTTTTTAGTCCTAAATGATTTTCCAAACATACCCTCTATTCTCCTCTTCCAGTTTTCTTAAAGCTGTATTAAGGATTCTGGGACAACCTTATTACAAGCATTGAGGAAAAATTCAAAGCTGTGAGTAATAAACAAGGAGTTATTAAAACAAGGAGCCATTAGTTGCTGCTAACTATGCAACCCCTGTAGCAGGTTTTCATTATTAATTTGCTATTTGCCCAATGAACCCGAAGATTTTTGATGTGCACTTGTTCAGCTTGCAGAACTATTTAGTTTGCAAGAGTTTAAATGCTCTGTCAACTTTAGAAGTACAGTTTGGAGCCTCTTATTCCAAGCCCAGACTTAGCTATCTACTCTACAAGCACAACTCTTATCCTTAAGTGCATGCTTGCAAGCACTGTTATTTATTAAGAGCAGCACACAACTGGTTAAGGGTCTCCAGCGAGGACCAGTTCTACCACTTTTGCTTGTCTGTTAAAGTAATAATTGTTTTTAAACAGTATTTTTCCGTCTCTTCAGTGATTTTCTCATCAGATTACTGATTTTAGGACTAAAGTGCCCAGTGAGAACACAAACTCTCTTCACCTCAGACTTTTTTCAACTTCAGGACAATACAGGTAACTCCAACATCCTTTTTTCCGTTCTAGATGCATGCCAATACTGTAAGAAATAAAACTCCCTAATCAGTTCCAGGAATTGTGTAAAAAGTCAGTGCTTCGCTCCATCCCCAACAGCCAGAAAGCAAGACTAATTTCTAGCAGGTGGGGGGCGCGGGGAAGAAAAAAAAGAATTTGCAGTCTGACATGAAGAGCTACAAACAGAGACAATTTTAAACACTAATTAATTGAGTGACATAAGTCTGATTCCATGTTCACCACCTTGTACCACTGCTTGTAAAAGATCAGTTACATCAGGTGCACACTGAATCAGAAGAGAGAAGTATCCTATGGTTATGAGCTGAAATTTTATTTCAGCTACAGTAGTATGAAATTTGAAATAAGACTACTGGAATAAACCCCCAGGATTTGGGAGTGGTGTAGCACAGTATTTTGATCTGCTAAAGATACTAAATGTAAAATAAGTTGTAACTGTGATGCAAAGCTCTTGAATAAGGCACTACACAATACTAACTAAAGTCCAATGTAGGACAAAACTGATTTGATTATCCTACCATTTTGAGACTCAGTAGCTAAGAACTGTCATGTAAGAAGAAACAAAATCTTAACAATTTCTGGACTGATCAAAAACCAAGAAGGGAAAGGGCTAGGGACCACAAAAATCAAAAAAAGGGTCCCCCAAAATCATGAGCTCTTGTTCACATTATGAATAACAGCTGCTGCAGTAGCAGATGTGTCTTTCCAAGGAATCTCTTTGACTGAAATCCTCCAGCCACTATCAGCCACTGAGCCAACTGACATTACAGAACCAACAAAGTAAAATCTTATTTTACTTCTTTTGCTTCAGATGGTCAAAAAGCTGTGAGCTCAGGAAGTTCTGTTCTCATTTTTTGTAAGTAATGGTGCTGAGTTTCTGACCAAACATTCTGACAGCTTTGTGGGATAAGTTTTAAAAAAAAAAATCACTCCAGTGCAAGTTAAATAAAGGACTGGGAAGTTATTTCTCCTGAAAAGAAGGAAGTTTTTCAATACAAAATCCCAAAGTTTTAGAACTTAAATGTTACAAGACTCAAGAGTTATTACATGAAAACAGATTTCCACTTTGCCTCAGAGGGAGGCACCACAGAGTATACAAGTTAAAGCCAAACCGAACAAAGGATTTTCTTTCTTTCGGCTCACTGCCTACTGCTCAACCCTGTAAATTCACTAGTTATACACCTTGGAGTGTTTTTTTTTGTTGTTGTTGTTGGAGTTTAGGGGTGGGTGGGGGAAGCCCACGAGGACAAAAGCCAGGCACGCTGCTTTTAAACACAGGTTGAAATGACACCTTTGAACAGTTTCTAGAGCTACATTTGTTTCATAATCTTAATATACGTAACTATGACTTGGAATAGCCTGTTTGAGAGCAAAGATTAGGTGGTTCCTTAAACATACGAAACTATAAAATAGGGTAATACAAATAGAGATTTCATTCTTCTGTACAAGAGGCCACAGAAGAGTAGTTGGTGATATAAGAAATAACTTAACTCACACGAAATTTCAGGAGACAGACAACTGAGTTCAGTTTCTTTTTTTTTTTTTTATACTCAAATTATGTCTGTTCACTAACAGCTGCTACTGCTAATTACTAATACCTACTAATTACTTCAGGAATATTAACAGGTAACTTGAGTAGCAGGGGAAAAAAAAAGAGGCAAGAGCATGAAATACCTACATTTACTCTTGATGAACGAAAAGTAAAACCGACACCACTGATAAATCACAGGTTTAACACTTTTTAACCCCTCAAAAACATTTCATGGTTTTGATAAATAAGCATTTCTACTTACACTAGGAACAGCTGAACTTTTCTTACGTTCAGGAATATCAGCCTTATTGGGATTGCTGGCATTTCCAAGCATTGGACTTGCTGGTGCAATTCCTCTTCCTGCAACAGCGCTACTGCTGGATTTTCTTGACTGAATTCCTTCCTCTTTGAGGTCACTGTCTGTAGTACTAGTCTGGCTTCTTTTGGGATATGCCACTACTGAGGGGATGGAGGGTCCAGCTTAAAAACAAACAGAAAAAGGATTTTTCTTCTCAGAAGCCCAGTAGCTATGCTTCCCTACAATGGAAATGTATTCACACACGAGAATCAAAATAATTAACACTGGAAATCAGAGTTGCAAAAAAGTAATTATTTAAGTTATTGAAATATGCATGTTTCAGAAGACAGTAAAATTTTGTGAAAAACAAACCATTTTCCAAACATTTCTTCTTTTTTTTTTTTCCCCTCTTTAAGGGTTGGGGGGGACGGGAGGGAGGCGATGACAACACACAGACACAACACCCTAAAGCAAGGCCCTCCATTTTGTAATAAAATCTGATAGATTTGATATTCAAGTCAACTCCAGCAAGGCTTCCCCTTATATCACAATACAAAGATACATAACTCTCTTCTGTATACCTTGCTAAGGACAGGAGGGCCATAATAACAATTATTTGAATTCATTAGGCGAAGATATTAGTTGATTTCCATGAAAGAATTACAAATTTAATGGAGTCTTCTGATGTTTAAGTACTGGCACTGGTTTGGCTTGGTAGGAAAAAACCTTCAGAATTTAACTGACTCTCATTCAAATCAGAGGATCCTTCTTTAGCACAAACCTGGCACATGCTGTTCAAGCCAACTTCTGATAAAACTGGGTTCCTGAGACAGGTATGTGGTGACACAACTCTGGACCCACCAGCGGCACTAACAGCTGGCGGACTGCGCTCCTGAACAGCCCAGAAGCAGCAGCAGTTTGTCACCAGCCTCCCCCGGTGTGCCAGAAACACCTGAGAATGAGGCAGCCCCTTCAACAGTCCCAGGCTCCCTCTTGCTTTAATAGGTTCCTGGACACTGGACAGCCTGTGGGGATGTCACGATTGTGTTTTCTGCTGTCTCAGTTACACCTCTTCAGAAGAGGATACATCAAGATATATCAACTCTGTAGTTAGTGTTTTAACAACAATTAATCAAAAAGTGTATGTATATACACACAAATGTAAAAAACGCATATAAATATATATATAAAAATATATATTAAA